CATATATATATATATATATATGGTTAGTGGAGATTTTAATATTGAAACCAATAAAAATACCTTCAATGTAGCAATTTATGATTGTATCAACACTTTCTAATTAAATTATTTCTCTTAAATGTTATAGAAAATTCCTATCTGGTGGAGATGGTACTATTGGGCCTCTCCTAGTGCTTGGTCGATCTATGGGCTTGTTACTTCTCAACTTGGGGACAAAAATGCGCTAGTAGAAATCCCAGGAGGTGAAAGCATTAGTGTGAAGGAACTCCTCAAGGAAAGCTTTGGTTATGACTATGACTTCCTACCAGTAGTTACTATTGTTCATGTAGTTTGGGTTCTCGTTTTCTTATTTGGCTATGTCTATGGCATAAAATTCCTCAACTTCCAAAGAAGATAGGCAGGAATTCTCTTATAAAGTGAAAGATGCACTTTAGAGAAATGTAATAATAACTATTGATTCAAAAATTAATAATGAGAAATTTTGATAAAAATAAATGCATGTATAATAAAATTTAAAATTAAGTATAATATTTATTATTAATTTCTTAATTAATTATTATTATTACATTTTATTTTCTAAAGTAAAATCTTCTTACTATAGAGGAGCTAGATCCTTATTTTCCTTTGGTTTTAATTAAGGAATGTTTTATGCCATCTAAACAATAGCAAACCCCTATAATATTCGGATGATTTTCACTTATAATATATATGTAGGTAAATTTAGTAGTTGGTCGCTTAATTTTTTTTTGGCAAATTGTTAAATGTGGTTTACTGGTGTTTAAATTATTTAAGTTACCTACTCATGTGTCACCCATAGACACATTAAAAAGGAAACTTTTACATGAGCGATTTTTTTTAAAGAAAAACTTTTTGTACCTAGTTTTGTATTTAAATTGTTTTCAAATGAAAAGATGGAGTTGTAACGACTTGATAAGTTCCACATTTACGACAATTCAACTATTTCTTAGCAAAAATATAATTGACAATATATCTAAGGTGATCATGTAACATTTATATAAACAACATGTAAGTTATATCTATAGAGGCTAGAAGGATAAACTATTGAAAATAAAACTCTCATGGGTTATATTACATATCCTGCACAAATATAAATATATTATATAAATACATAATTGAATACAAAATAAATTATACACTATCAATCAAGCACTTATACACAACCTTAACACATCAAAGTAGTTATCAATAAAACAAAGCTATCACCGATGTAACTTACCATCGACTGCAGAAGTCATCCCTCTAATCTTATCCTACTCCTATGAAGAATCATGATTATGGCAATCTCAATTACAAGAAAAAACATAGGACGGTAGCTTGTAAAAAGAATTTAACATATAATCACACTATTGATAATAACTTCACAACTTACAACTCAATAAGTCAATTTTCAATATATTTCAACACAATAATAATATCATCAGAAACAGCTTTAAACAACTTATACAATGTGATCAACTTAAACACAACATAATAATATATATAAATATATCACTACATTTAACATAATAATATATATAAATATATCACTAATACGTTATCATCCATATTAATATTAGAACCCCGTTCTGAATTAATTTCTATTTAAAATCTGACTAATAAAGTCCACTTTAAAAAGTTTAGATAAGTTTTGTCGATGAGATAAATGTTTTTTTTTTGGTACATGTCTCGTTAAACATGTTTTAAACTAACAAGCCCGCAAGTCTATTAAAAGAAGAGTTAATCATTTATATACTGTCAGTTTAAAGTTTTTTTACATGGACAACTAATTATATCTTTTAATTGTGTCATATCATTATAAACACATTTACTTTTAACAGTGACATGACATAATTAAAAAATTTAATTGATTGTCAATATAAAAAAAAATTTATACTGACAGAGTGTATAGTGATTAACCCTTAAAAGAATTGAAAAATATTTTTAAAGGTTATATATATCCGTTAACCATACAAACTGCGAATCTCACAAGTCAGCTATATATACCTAAGGTCATACCCAGCCCTGACGATAACATGAGAAGGGGTACGTATCACTGGCGGATAAAAGAAGCGTCTCACAAGTCACAACAGGTCAATTACTCTCTCTTTTTTTACTATTTTGTTTCATGGTATTAGGAATTGAAAAGTCAAGGAGTCAATAAAGCCAATCATGCAGTGTTTTAGAGATTTTGTGCTGGTCTTGAACTTGTCATACATGTCAACACATTTTATTACGATTTAATATTTGACATAAATAACTTATTTTCTTTTATAATAAATGGCTAATTAAGTATATAATGTGATATTTTAGTCAGATTAATATTCACATTTTGTATCAAATGTTTTATAACGAATATGATCTTACCTGATACAAAATATTACACATTCTATAACTAATTTTAAAATGGACCTTAATTATATTGAGATAATTTTGAAAAGATTATAATATATTATTAGTTATTATATATATATTATTTATAAATAAATAACATAAAGGAAACAACTTCTTTCCTTAAAAACTTTTTTATATATAATTGTTATTATAAAATAAACTGCTAATGAAAATTAGTAAAAGAAAATAAATATGTGAAAATGTTTAACAGCAAAAAAAAGTGAAACAACCATCTCTAATAATTAATACAAAACTCCCAATAGGTTACTTTTTCCATAAGATAATTTTTCGTTATATTAAATAAATGCATATCAATATATGTAACTTTCAGTATTAATTGACTCTTCTTTTGTATATTATTTTTATTATATAAATGATTTTCATCTTGAATATTTTTTCATTAACATTTTTTTGTTCTTAAAAAAATTCTTAGCCAATAACCTTTACATGTTTTCTTTTAGTATTTTTCACATGCTTTCGATCTTTTGCTGATTTATCTGCTTGCAGTTTAATTGCAGTTAGTGATTTAAATCATGAATTTTTCTAGATAACTAAACTTTGATATGAGGAAGGTGATTGTCAACCTGATTCAAAGGAGATGCAAGTACAAATGAATTCGAAAGGAAAGCTCTCTCTTCTAGTATATTTTTTTCTTGCATATGTTTGTCCCTAATTTATTTATTTATTTGACAGAATCCATGTTTTATTATGTTGTACTTACTTTTTTGTATTTCATTATATTATTAATATTGTGTTTATTTTTTGTTTCATTTGCTTCAATGCAAAAAAAAAAAAAATTAAGGTTATCTAGGTTTTTTTATGCTAACTTTTTTTTAAAATAAATTGATCTTCAGATCACATGAAATTATGAAAGTCTGACAAAAAGATGTTGAAATTATGAATTATGGCATAACCTCTAATATTGAGTTGTTGCTACTTAATGAGAAGGTAATTTTTAAGTTATTTTTTAAAATATTTTTTAAGTTATTATAATAAATATGTATTCTTTTATTGTAATTTCATATTAAAATATTTTCTCTATGATAAAAATTTTAGAATACAGAAATATTCAAGCATCCATATACAAAGAAAGTTTATTTTGTAGTATGCAAATTATTGTAAATTTATATAAAAATTTGTATATTTTTTATTTATCGCATATAAAAATTATTAGTTAGTTTATTTGTCTATTATAAAAGAGATATTTAAAAAAAAATCCACGTATATAACAAAATTTTCATGTATGTAAATATTTTTTCTATTTAGTATATAT